TAAGGTTTTTAGTCTTCGAGAGCTAACTATGGCCATCGAGGACTACGAAGCGCCCCGTGGCTGGCTTAAAAGTTCATTGCATGCCAGGAAGTATTTGTTATTGTTAGATTCAGACGAGGATGGACGTTGCATTGCTAAAATGGCTACAAAACGGACCTTTTGATGTCAAGCAGCTAAGACAAGAAGAGCTCTGATGCTGGAAGAGAGGGTAAAAGTGATCAAAATGAAAGACGGAGCAAGCAAAATAAAATACATTTTCCAAGAAATTGATGTAAGTGAAAGTGAATGCTGATCGTAAATTTCGCAATTTCTTTCCCTTTTTTTCTTTCTACACTGACAATATGAAGTGTCAAATAAGTGTGTGCTCATACTTATGTACTATTGGAATAAAAATAGAGTACACAAACGTTTGTGTGTGCGTGTACACATACGTTTGTGTGTGTGGGTGTGTGTGTGCTTACATCTGAGATCAAATTTGCTACAGTGAAAAACCCCCTGTTGTGAAAAATTTCTTGCTGCAAACATGATTTCGTTGTAGAGGAGTTTCACTGTAATAATAAAACTTGACCAGCTCGTCATAAGAGTCAGCATCATCTCAACGCATTAAAATAATTGTGACTTTACAAGAAAGAAAATGCAAATATAATTTATTCCTACTTCACTGTCATGCTCACGTCTAATGCCTGGCTTCTCCAGGGTGCTTGAAATTTTTATTAATGTTGAATTTTGTGAAAGTACTTGACCTTGGCAAAAGTGTATGACCACTGTAATGGATAATTGTGGACACCTCACAGTCACTTGCACTTGTTGCATCAACATTTGGTACTTGATTTCTGTGCATTTGTCTTTTTAGGGTGCGGGTCCAGCACCGCAATTTCCAACAGGAGGCTCTTCAACGAATCCCTTCTTATAGCGGTCCATCACATTAGCTCTTCTTCAGGCTTGATTGATGGCACTTGCACCTATTTCATCGTTTTATTTCACAGGTAGCTTTAAAACGCAACGTGTGTATAGATTTGTACTCCACTAATCGACCATTTTGCGGTGTTACAGTCATGACACTGCTTATGCTGACAAAATAATGTGATGGTGAGTGCAGACGGAGAGGTTGATCCCCTCCTCCCCATTCAAGTGAATGGCTCATCAAACTGGCTGAAAATGTGGGTTTGCAAGGGTAGTCAATCTAAAATTCAGTGAACATTGTTTCCTTCAGCAAATCCACTCTTTGTGCATATCAGTTTGTACACAGGTTTTGTTACAACGGAACTATTGCTTGGAAAAGCCAATGGGTACTGCCATCGATATTGTTTATTTGTGCAGAATACTTTTCAGTGAACCGGACAAATATTGCATGTTCTCTTGACAAATAAGGAAAGGGAGAAAGGAATGGTGCAATGCTCTCTGCCAGGCTACGCCTGCAGGATAGAGGTCTGGTTCACAATGTCATCCACAGCAGGATGGCATATCAACCACTTGCATTGGATAGAAAGACAATTTTAAGTTAATATGTGTGTGTGTGTGTGTGTGTGTGTGTGTGTGTGTGTGTGTGTGTGTGTGTGTGTGTGTGTGTGTGTGTGTTAAAATGAGTTTTAAGAATTGACCAAATCGTTGATTTATATGGATGTATGAAAATATTTGTGCTGTTTATATGAATATATATATGTGTATATAGATATATAAAAAATTCATTTCTAATAGTGTTGAATTCTGTATCATTGTTGTCTGGAGGGTTTATTTCTTTTTTCATCTTCCTGCCATCCAAAAAAGGGCACACAGTGCAAAAACAACAGTAATTGCTGTCAAGTAACTGCCAAAACAAAAGCACACATTTTTAGCTGACTGTTGACAAAATCCAGTGGCTCACCTGAGAATAATAGCCAGACCCAGTCCTCTTTCAACGACAATAGACTTTAAGCTGGTCTGTAAAGTCAATGCAGCAAAGGTGTGAGCTCCAAAAACGTGTGCATGTTGCTTCATTGTAAGGTCAACTGCAATCTTACCAATTCAAAGAACGGTTTAGTCAATTTAGATTTTGTTTAGCGATGTAATTAAGCATTTTTTTTAAATCCATTGTTAAAAATAAGACTAAAACACAAGGTACAGTGGAAAGTGAGGTTGAGCTCAATCTGTTCCCTGTTGTGCATGCTTCTGTTTGTATTTGTTGTGGGGAAACACCTGCACCTGCCTTGAGTGATATCTTGGTGAGTCAATTAACAGTCCGGACAAAGGACATTAGCTTATGTTGATTTACAGGTCACGTATCAAGACTATCCAGCAACATGACAGCGTTATTATGTTATTAAACAATACATGAGATTACGGACTGTATAATGATATCATACTGGTAATTCATTATTGCCATGAAAAAAACTGAAGCAGCCACCCTCGGTTGCTGTTTTTGATAGCACCTCCATACAGGCACCATATTTCACACTAATTGTGGAATTATATTTAGTGGCGGTTATATTTAGTGGCGGCGGTCCAAGAGGGAAGCGCTCCCTTGACCCTGTGCCTCTGTAATGCATGGTAAGATGGAGCCTATCCTGTCTGACTTCAGGCGAAAGGCTAATTCCACCCTTGACTGGTCGCGAGACAACCACTGATCACTGACAGGATTATTGTGAAAGGGAAATCAATCAAAAGATAGCGTGAATGGGAAACATTCATCCATCCATTATCCGATCCGCTTTATCCTCACGAGGGCTGCGGGCGCGCTGGAGCCTATCCCGGCTGTGTTCAGGCATTAGGCGGGGTACACCCTGAACCGGTTGCCAGCCAATCGCAAGGCGCACATAGTCGAACAACCATTTGCGCTCATTGTCACACAAACTAACCTGCCAGGTATGTTTTTGGAATGTGGGAGGAAACCAGAGTACCCGGAGAAAACCCACGCAGGCACGGGGAGAACATGCAAACTCCACACAGGAAGGCCAAGGCCAGAATCGAACCCTCCACTTCTGCACTGTGAGGCTGCCGTACTAACCAGTCGACCACCATGGCGATTTTCATCTTTAATTGGTAAGCATGTAAACATGGGGAATGCACACGGATTCAAAATGAAGCTTTATTGTATGATTATCTACTCATTCAAGTACTGTTACAATTTAACAACTGGTTGACCATGATCAGAAAGATGTATCATGGATCACCTGCACGGGGTTCTTCCTCTCCTTTGGCAGGTTATCTGGTGGTTCTGGAGTGCTTCGCTTTGTACAAGCAGTGTAGGTCCCTCGAATCAAAAACAGCACGGAGATGACAGCATGGTAGATCCCGTAAATGATGAACTAGAGGGAGAGAAATCTTTTTCACAGCACTGAACAAAAGTTCCATCTTTGGCTCTGTATGCAATTGTGCATGTTAGCCACTAGGTGTCACTGTGTTTGCATCAGTACCACACGTTCCTGCATTGCCATACACGTGTTATTTTAGAGGCATGAGTTTGCTTCGATTTTGTTAGGTGTCCAACCATACCTGCGTCACAATGTCCAGTCCTAATGTAGCTCCATCAACAAAAATAAGTGTCATAATGGTCTGCAGGGAGAGGGCCACAAACGTGTTGATCCCGAATGTCAGGGCGTAGCACTCCATGGAGAGATTGGCGGCAATCTGAAATCTAAATTGCACTGTGGTGTTTCATTTCAACTTTTTCAAGAACGCTGCTTATGTGACTACAGTGAACTTACGTTGTGATGGTGATGAGCAGCATGTAGCATGATTTAAATACGGCATAGCCAGCATAGCAAGCCCAGATATTGCTGGTGAGTCCTATCAAGAACACAGCACCTGCCCCAATGGCTGAAAACAACCCTAAAGCCAGTTCTCCCCACACGGACCAGTTCACCTTGATGTAACCCACAGAGAAGGCTGCTGCAGCGCCTGCCCCACAAAAATGGGAAAAAAATGAGATATGAATAATATGGTAGCATATGGTATACTGTATACCTATGTACAGTATGTTTATATGTCTGTATATGTATATCCGATATTATAAACTTTATAATATACCGGTACTTTTCCCACCACTAATTTTAGCAGTACCATGAACCTATACCTGTACATCTCAACTGACGTAGCAGGTCAGCAGTTGTTGGCCGACCTGTCCTCACACTGTCCAGTTTATCTTGTCCATGTTGAAAACGATTTTTTTAATAATATCTGACATTCATTCTCCTCCGTCACTTTTTGGGGCACATCGCATTTATCTCAAACAATCAGATAAGTGCACATTGCAAGACTCTTGATCCCACCCAATCAGAGGCCGAGAAATGTCTGTATCACTCGTGCATGAAGGCAGGCCGTGATGAATCTGAAATGATTGTTGAAAAAAAAACCCAAAACAAAAACAAAACAGCCATTGCTAATAGTGTGTCATATGTCATCAGCCAGCGCTTATGGCATTGATGGCCCTGGCCAGATTACATTCACATTGTAACACTGCTGAAAGCTGAATGGACACATGAAATCCACCACACACATTACTGGAAGAGAATGTCTATGAAATGAAGCTAATCGACTATTGAAATGAAATAAAACCATTTTCATTTCAGTTGTGAATGGAGGTCAGTGCTTCTGAAAGTGTTTAGGCACAGCAGAAGCCCTTGCAGGGCCTTATTGCACACCACTGTGTAGAACGAATGATTTTCATAGTCGATGCATATGTAATCAAAGTCGAGTCGAAGTTCATTAGTCAAAGGCTTCATTGATTTGTTTTCAGTAGAGCGGTCCCCAACCTAATTTGTGCCGCAGACATTTTTCTTGTTGAGAGATATTTTGATCAACTGGCATAGAAACAAATTCAACAGAATGTTTCGAAATACAATTCACCATTACACTGAATGTTGTTGTAATTAGCCCGAGGGTTGTTTCTTGTCGAAGAGCCGACAATACTGCTTAAGTGTTCTGATTTATGATACACGAACTGCTGAAATGTCCTGAGTTCTTGTTGACACGCTGTTGACCACACATATGTTGACCATATATGTTGGTGCCAAAGACAGACATTCACTACACACCGCTGTCCTAACCCAGTCCTGTCATCCTGCTGCTATGAAACCATTTAAGATTAGCGGCGATGGTCATCTCATCCCCATCCAAATGTGTGACATTCAAACTCGCGTTCAATGAAAGTCAGGACACACATGGAACCATTTAAATTGCCCTGATTAACCCCAAATAAAGTTCAGATGTTCTAGCGGGCCTTTCTTGTCATTTCTGTAATTAAATCTGACATCACAGGATTTTTGAATGTATACGTGGGAAGGAAGATACGGGTTTATAGGCCACATTCATGGTGGAAAAAGTTTTGAACTGATTTATCTCATTATAGTCGCACCAAAAATGTCCACGCTATTTTTATACAGTTGAGCCAATCAACTGTCTACATTGCAAGCTAATGATGCTGTGGCAACATGTGGTTTGATTGAAAAAAAGTACACACACACACACGCACACACGCGCACACACACACACACACACATTACAAAAAAGAAAGTCTTACCAACGAGAGAGCATGCGGATTCTACTCCACCATTGTAAACGGATGACGAGGCGGATGGCTCAATATGGTTCCACATTAGTTGGATGTAATTAACTATTTGCGTATATCCAGCTGTGGCCAGAGCCCACCACAAAGACCAATAGATCAAATGCCTGCATGTAGATCATGAAGACAAGAAATGATGATGATTAATGATAATTAGTCCCAAGTCACTGTAAAACATGTTCCATCAATGTGTAAAGTGGCAACTGGCACATGTGCATGCACGTAAGGTAAGTATAGATGGATAAAGAGCGGAAGAAAATGCCTTGATGAGTAGGACTCCCTGAAGCTTTGCCAAAGTAAATGACCTGCACTGAACACATTTTTCCTGCTGCACCAGCCAGCGTCGTCATCACACTCCATCTTCTGTTTCCCCGAGCTAGCGTCCTCCTCATCCAATGCCGTTTCATCGGGTCTGTCCGTTTTCCCAGGCACCTCCTGCTGGGATTGTCGACCCAAAGATGCTGTCTTTCTCCCTTTGAAGAACATGCTCCCCTGAGGCATTGGCAACCAGAAGGAGATGAGAAAAGCCACGCTTACAACGCCCAGAGTGATGGCATTGAGGTAGAAGTAGTTCAACCCTGTTGATTAGAATTCATACTTTCATATTGCCGATGCAAATGATCAAATAATTCATTCGTTTCTCTCCTAGTTCTCTTTGCGGTGAATACACAGTAGTTTTGCATGCTGAAAAGACACATCAAAGTGAGGAATCGAACGCTTTTTAGTTGTTCTCTACTGCAGGATTTGAAACACCACCTGCCAATGAGATGAGAATTTGGCCCAGGCCGGCACCAGACGTGTACCCAAAAAGCATGGCGCTGCGAAGGTAACCGGTGGCTCGCTGGTAATTCTCAAGGGGAATCGCGCTGTATATGTAGGAAAAGTAGGCCACCTCTGTAGCAGTCACGACAGCATAATGAATCTGTAAAAGAAAGAGCTGCTATTAAATGGCTGAAATGAAACCGGTGAGAGCTGTAATCCACAGAGGTTGCATTCATGGACTAATGTCAGCTGTCTCTCCAGGCCCCTTCAGCTCTGGGCAAGTTATTCTGGGTTGCGGAATCTCCGAGTAAGGGACAGCGTTTCCAATCATGTTCTGTCAAATATTTTTTGATGACACTTTGTGCAAACCTCAAGGAAGACCATAGCAAGTAGTCCTGGGGCAAAGCAGAGCAGGACATAGTTGGAAACCAGGAAAAGCGCCTGGATCACAATGAGCGGCTTATGTCGCAGAAAGTCAGTCAGCAGGAAAACAGGGAAAAGGAAGGCCAGGTAGGAATATGTCCATATTGGAAATAGGTAGTTGGTCACCTAAAAGAAAACAATGCGCAAACAAGGAACATGAATGCTGGTGTAGTTCAGTATAGTGACACGCAATGCTGTTGAGTGAAATCAGTTTACCACTTCTTCGGAGATGTTCTTATAAGGTCCAATTAAGTACGGCGCGAGGAAAGGCTCTGCGATTCTGCAGTTGGCAAAAAAACCATAGAGTGACAAGACTGCGGTAGGGAAAACCCAATCTGAGGACTTCAGCTTGACCCAGCAGCCCATGGTTTCTCCTCAATAGAATCCCTCTGTCGTCTCCTTCCCGGCAGGGTTTCCTAATGTGGCATGATTGATTTGGTCCTCAGAAGCCAATACGTGCCTTAAAATAATGACACTTCAGTTAGTCACCACCACGAGCTGGAATAATCTAATCTGGTGAGTTGTGTCGTTTCACGTGGCACGCTTTATGAGTTTAGACTTTCACCTGTTAGGAAACCGAATGCTATTTGTGCAGACTCTGCTCTGGAGTGAAAGCAAAACGCATAATGTTTTATGAATATTTTTATGATATTTTAAACTATTTTTTTAAAATGAAATATTATTTCAAGATATAAGATGAATCGTTGCAAACGACAACAAAAAAGTTTTTTTTTTGCTGACCTCAGGCGTGATCCCCCAACCCCTTTGCTCTGAGTTCCGACTGCGCATGCGTCATGGCCACTTGCTAGTTGCCGTAACAACGGTTTGTTGACGGGACGGAGGCTTGCTTGCGCAAAATGAGGCTCAAAAGGTTTCTTCTCAGATATTACCCACCAGGTAACACAAATCATGAACGTGATTAATGATTCTCTTCACGGAAAATGCGTCTGAAGAGAAGCTATCGTTTTTATTTGCATTCAGCGGGAACAACTTTTGCTCCCATTAGGTATCATCCTGGAGTTTGACAAAGCAGGGCTTCTGAGGACTAAATCAATCGACCTTTTGGATTTGACATTGGAGTACGTGCTTTGTTTATTACATATGCAGTATCCATTATGCATATTTTCTGTATATCGATTTGTTAAGTAAAGTAGGAGGCTGCAGATACTTGTGTCGTAAAAGACTGCTAAAGGTAGTACTAATGTAACTTTTTTAACAACGGTTTGTTGACGGGACGGAGGCTTGCTTGCGCAAAATGAGGCTCAAAAGGTTTCTTCTCAGATATTACCCACCAGGTAACACAAATCATGAACGTGATTAATGATTCTCTTCACGGAGAATGCGTCTGAAGAGAAGCTATCGTTTTTATTTGCATTCAGCCGAACGACTTGTGCTCGCTCCCATTAGGTATCATCCTGGAGTATGACAAAGCAGGGCTTCTGAGGACTAAATCAATCGACCTTTTGGATTTGACATTGGAGTACGTGCTTTGTTTATTACATATGCAGTATCCATTGTGCATACTTTCTGTATATCGATTTGTTAAGTAAAGTAGTACGCTGCAGATACTTGTGACTCCAACAGAAACAGAACCAAGAGGACAACAACAGTTTCACTTTTTCCAAGGTTAGCCCATCTGAGGGTCTGCCTGCATGTCTGTCGGTTCCCCTGCCGCAGTTCCCTCCCTCCCTTCTCTCCATCAAAATCCAAAGAAAAGACTTAGCATCACAGGATAATTTAAGTGTATATCCCAGCCAGAACCCAGATCTAAATTCATTGCCTGAGAGATTCACACGTATAGAGTGCTTTTCAAAGAAAGAGCGGAGAAATACAATATCGCCAAGTCAAGTTGTGCTGCACTGATAGATTTTTGCCCAATTAAGTTTGTGTTGTCATGAAAAGAAGATAACATCAGCTAAATATTTCTATTTGGGTTTGCCTACAACCTACATGAAACTAGTGTACTGTTTGAATATAATATTGTTACACACACACACACACAGACACACACACACACAGACGCACACACACACACACAAGGATTTGTTTCTTTTTAAATTAAATTGTCCAATTGACATTTCATCTTATTTGAATTTAACAGGTGGGTGTTGACTTTCTGTCTGTAGAAGGACGAGCCTGAGCATCATCTGCCTCTGATGAGTCAGGAGTAGTGACAGTAGCAAGTCACTGCTTCTTCTAAACAATAGAGAGCCGTAATGGGACAACAACAGTTTCACTTTTTCCAAGGTGACCCCATCGGAGGGTCTGCCTGCATGTCTGTCGGTTCCCCTGCCGCAGTTCCCTCCCGCCCTTCTGCCCATCCAAATCCAAAGAAAAAACTTGCCATCAAATGATAATTTAAGTGCATCTCCCAGCCAGAACCTAGATCTAAATTCATTGCACGAGAGATACATACGTATGGAGTGCTTTTCCAAGAAAGAGTGGAGAAATACAGTATCGCCAAGTCAAGTTGTGCTGCACTGATAGATTTTTGCCCAATTAAGTTTGTGTTGTCATGAAAAGAAGATAACATCAGCTAAATATTTCGATTTGAGTTTGCCCACATGAAACTAGTGTACTGTTTGTATATAAGCCTGAGCATCATCTGCCTCTGATGAGTCAGGAGTAGTGACAGTAGCAAGTCACTGCTTCTTCTAAACAATAGAGAGCCGACACACACACACACACACACACACACGCACAAGGATTTGTTTCTTTTGAAATTAAATTGTCCCATTGACATTTCAGCTTATTTGAATTTAACAGATGGGTGTTGACTTTCTGTCTGTAGACGGATGAGCCTGAGCATCATCTGCCTCTGATGAGTCAGGAGTATCAGAGAGCCATAATGTGAAATTCTGACAATCTGAGGACTTCAGCTTGACCCAGCAGCCCATGGTTTCTCCTCAATAGAATCCCTCTGTCGTCTCCTTCCCGGCAGGGTTTCCTAATGTGGCATGATTGATTTGGTCCTCAGAAGCCAATACGTGCCTTAAAATAATGACACTTCAGTTAGTCACCACCACGAGCTGGAATAATCTAATCTGGTGAGTTGTGTCGTTTCACGTGGCACGCTTTATGAGTTTAGACTTTCACCTGTTAGGAAACCGAATGCTATTTGTGCAGACTCTGCTCTGGAGTGAAAGCAAAACGCATAATGTTTTATGAATATTTTTATGATATTTTAAACTATTTTTTAAATGAAATATTATTTCAAGATATAAGATGAATCGTTGCAAACGACAACAAAAAAGTTTTTTTTTTGCTGACCTCAGGCGTGATCCCCCAACCCCTTTGCTCTGAGTTCCGACTGCGCATGCGTCATGGCCACTTGCTAGTTGCCGTAACAACGGTTTGTTGACGGGACGGAGGCTTGCTTGCGCAAAATGAGGCTCAAAAGGTTTCTTCTCAGATATTACCCACCAGGTAACACAAATCATGAACGTGATTTATGATTATTTTCACGGAAAATGCGTCTGAAGAGAAGCTATCGTTTTTATTTGCATTCAGCGGGAACAACTTTTGCTCCCATTAGGTATCATCCTGGAGTTTGACAAAGCAGGGCTTCTGAGGACTAAATCAATCGACCTTTTGGATTTGACATTGGAGTACGTGCTTTGTTTATTACATATGCAGTATCCATTGTGCATACTTTCTGTATATCGATTTGTTAAGTAAAGTAGTACGCTGCAGATACTTGTGTAAAAGACTGCTAAAGGTAGTACTAATGTAACTTTTTTTTAACTTGAGCAAACGCAAAAAAAAAAAAAAAAAA